GTTTTTTTTGAGACAGGGTCTCACTAGTTGAGATTGACCCGGAACTCCTATGTAGCCAGGCTGGTCTCAAACTCACAAGGATCCTCCTGCCTCTGCCTCCCAAGTGCTGGGATTACAGTTGTGCGCCACCACGACCAGTTTGCATCCATTCTTTTATTGTTGGGAAACATGATGTCAGAGGATAAACCTAGAGCTTTTAGCCATTAGGTCAAGGTTTTACTTGGGGCTGGTTCTTCTAGGTAGGTGACTCCCTCAGAATGAAAGCAGCCTCCTCATTTCTGTTCCTTTATCCCTTCTGAGATAGCTACAAGGAGATCCAATATAGGGCACAAATGACTACAGTGAGATGAAGCTAAACTTTTCTATGAATTATTCTCCCAGTTGCTCACTGGAAGATAAGGTCACATGACAAGTCTTTAAATAAGTGAACAAAAGGTCCATTCTTTTTTCTCTTTCTCAGAACTGGGATGGGGAACAGTGAAAAAAGTAGCTCACTAAATTGACTTCCTATTTCCTAATTTATAATCAACCCGTAGTGTGAGAGAATATGTCAAGCTGACTTTGAGAATCTAAAGAATTAATCAGAGCCTCATATGTCTTGTAGGAAAGGTCATGAGCAACTGTGTATTCTACATAATCTCATTCTATGATTAATCGTCCAGTATTATACACAGTGAAGGTTTGAAAAGCTTTCAATGCCTTTTAATTTAGGATTGTTGGATTGTCTGATAATATGCTGAATGTATGTATCATTCCAAATCTGGAAGAGTGAAGATTGATAGTTTTTTATGTCTTTAGGAATATATCTAAAGAAATAAATAAGTGAGGAAGAATGTGCATTTCCTCTAAATCTGTTGGATAAGTACAATATAGCCAATTCTTTTTTATATCAAATAATTTGTAAAATTCTTATTATTTATCACAGACTAACTCCCACCAAGGCCTTCTATCATAAGCTGTCATGAGTCCTTTTAGTGTAAAGACAGTTATAAATAAATATTATTTAGCGAACAGCAGTAAACACAGTGCTTTGTATTCGTCTTAATCTTCACCCACCTCCAAAAGTTATGTGCTGACCCTCAAGCTCAAGGTACAGATGAGCAGAGATATAGATAACTTGCTTCATTCTCACACCCCAAAAGTGGTGAGCCAGGAATGAAACCTGAAGATTCTGTCAGACTTCAGTCACTAAGTTCATCATGGAACAATGCTTCGCAACCACTTTCTGGATATGATACCATTTCTGGAAAGAGTTTTCTTTAGTTACTGTTTCATCTCATCTTTATTGTTTATGAATAGGTAATTAGTATAATACTACAAGCTCAGGGTAGTGGAGTTTGTTCAATAATAACCCAAGGATGTTATGTTAGTTATTAGCACATCTTTACTTGTGTACAAGGTATATGAAGAAATAGATTGATTTTATCCAATAAAATTTTAAAAGACTATGTAATTGATATATAACTCATTAACTCTTATATGCAACTAATTATTTCAGCATTTTTATGGTGAGGGAAAAAACAGTGACTACCAAGTGAACGGTAGAGAGAGGGTTTTTTGTTTTGGTATAAAAGGTATCTTAAGGGGTTTATTACTTTGAATTTAGAGATTGCATTTAGAATAGGCTAGAAAATAAAGTCAGAGAAAAATTTTATTACATTATGATTATAGATTATGTGTATATAAAAAACAAGAAAAATACTGCAATTTCATTTTAAAGTGACTGCACATATTAAATTGAATTATGAGATTAAGAAATAATGCCAACTTCCTTAAATAATCAACATATCCATTATCTTGTATGTTTATTTATGTTTCTATGCAGCTGTATTGCTTGGCCACATCAGAGTTGTTTGTATTAACAGCAGCCCTTAAACAGAGCAGGTAATCCATCTTCCCTCCAGTAGGAGACCAAGCTAGTCTCTTGGTCCTGAGGACCCACACACACATAGGACACACACATCTATTTTACAGATCTAAAGTCGCCAAGGCAAAACTATCTACTGTCATTCTCTTCAGGCAACCATACATTCTCTAACGTGTTAGTCAATGGTCAATATAAGCTGTATAAAAATAGACTTTTATGAAGCATGCTTTTTAGTAAGAATGCTTTGTATTTTGTAAACTCCACGTTAGAAAGTGTACAGGTACTCAAAGATTAGGCATTAATTTCCTCAATTTAATGTTCATCTAAATTCTTCAAGTTATATATTATAAGGTCAGTTTTATTATTAATTGTATTAAAATAATTACTATTTTATAATATTACTGAATTATATTAAAATAATTCCATTTTCAAATGATATTATTTAATTTAGTTCAATTAAGTTACAATTTAAAAATAATACTAGTGTTCAATTCCCAGTACCAAAAAACAAAAAAAAGGCCAAGGATTTGTCTCAGTGGTTCTGCCGCCTGCCTCGGAGGCACAAGGACCTGAGTTCGATCCCTGACACCAGAAAAATAAATAAATAAATAAATAAAATGAAAATGAAAATACTAGTGTTTACTTATCTGACCAATAATGCTAATAAAAGGTTCATTCAAATTGATTCATTTTTTAAATAAATACTAGGCTGCAATTACACTAACATTATTTTTATATTATAATAAAGACATAGAACTATTTTGAAGCAATATTAAGCCAGTGAGTTTTTACAATAAGTAATCTTAATTAAAAATAGGTGATAAAAATATATACCATGTATAGAAAATATATACCACGTATAGAAAATTCTGTTGTTTTTAAATAGTGAAGTACTTTTTTTTAATTTCTTTAACCTGTTAACTAAAACCACTAGTCATGCTTAAACTTTTCTTTCAGTTACAATTTAAGAGATAAGCTTTTAAAGAATTTTTGGAAAGAATTTGTTAAAGAAAATTTTTAAAGAATTCTCCAGAAAAATGGGAGTTATTATATTAGCCAAATAAAATTTAAATAAAATTTATTAATATCCTGTTGAAATGCACAATTTGCTCAAACTTACTTGCATTCATAAAATAGAAAATTTTAATTGTCCTGCAAACTAGATGGACTGTTTTAAGAGAACAGTATTTTAGATGAAAAGAGCCATAAGACCATGTCTCCCCAAAAATAACACCTAATAACCTTGAAAACCAGAGGCCAAAAATGCCAAACCCAATCAACATATCCCTGTCTTACCTGCCTTACAAAATAGCCAAAAATAGCAGAATGGTGAGATTCAATCTTCTGCATGACTCTGGCCATCACCATCGTGAAAACCAGCTAGAGCTTATTTTGTGGTTAAGTCTTATTTTCAGGGAATCAAGGAACTTATTAAGTACATAAGTTGACTAGTTAAAGATAGGTCTATGTAATTGAGATTAGAGATCCTTTAGGGATTACCATTGCTGAGAATATAAATAATTCTGTAACCTTCTAAATTTGGTAGAAAATTCCAGGTTCATGCCATATACCTACCTTATACTAAACTCATTGTTTGGAAAATGTTAAATCTACACTATGCTTTATATAAATATTGGAAGCCCTCTTTTTTGACTCAGTAGTTGTATTTATAATATCATGCTTTCTCTCTTCTTGCTATTATTACATAAAGAACCTGAAGGAACAATAATTTGGGATCACTAAACCATGAACTCTAGAACACTACAGTGAGGAAATTTTGTTTCTTTGGTTTCCTTCTTGTCCTAAGTGTCTTCTTAGGCCTAACAGTTTATTGACATTAAAAGTTACTTTAGGCCACCATCTTACATTTGGATTATCTTTGATACAAGCTGTTATTTTTACAGATAGACAACTATTTTGGATATATATTGTGTAAAGACATACACAGACACACACAAACATTTTGGAAGGAGGAAAGAAGCCTACAAATACAGCCCAATGGTGGATCCCCTCAATGGTAACCAGAAAGAAAAGGGCTAACTCCCAGATTCTGTTCCCAAATGCACATATCAAAATCCCTAACAAACACCAACAAACTTCTAAAAATTAAAAAGTGAACCACATGTGCAGCCCTCACCAGCAACTATTCAGAATGAGAACCAGAACAGGAAACAAACTTGGACAATAAAAGTTTTAGCATACAAGAGCCAAGAAAACATGAGCAAAAACCCCAGAAGACAAAGCTAAGAGAGAAGGGCTTGCCACCCACACATTGCTGTGGATTCCTGTTGTTACATTCAAACATTATCTGGTGGGACCCCCCAAAAATAAATGGTTTAGAGTTTATGATTAGCCTACTGTTGTATTGAGAAGAGCATTACTTCACACAGAAGAAAAAAAAACAGCATTTATATGTGGGAGAAGATGAGAGAGGAACAATTTCCATTCTGCCTATGAACAGTAAATCCTGTTCCAGGTTTTAACTGAGTAGTTGCAATTAGAGAGGTTAGACTGAAATGAACATCAATCCTTTCACAAACCACTCAGGGGCACAGCAATATCAGCTGTGAAGGGCTCTGGACCTCCTGGGGCTCGGTTGTGGAGCATGTGCGACAATCATTGCTAATATTCCGTATTTGCACTTTCACGTAAATACTGTACCATTTCTCAGAGGAATCTCGGTTAACTCAATTACAGGCAGCCAGCGGCTGCAAAGCAGTGTTCAAGGCAGGCAGTATTTATTTTACACTCTGATATCAAAGAAAACTGCAGATTTCAGGTCATTGGGTCTTTCTGTAATTTTGTAACACAAACTACAGGGTATCTTTACTAATTATAAAACTGCTTTCTTCCTAACATTTTGCTCCTACTTTCCAACATTTTTAAGGGAGAAAGCAATTTACAGGTGGAGAAAATGTTCCAGACTTTAAAAGACGGTTGAAGAGCTTGTTTCATCTTAAAATGTCTGGAACAAAGATCCTAACAGCTAAAAGGAAGGTTGAATTTCCCAGTCCCGGAAAGCAGCATGCATTATCAGACTAGGAAGCGCTCAAGACTAAGCCACTCCTACCGGCTTCCCTATTGTCTCACCTTTGTTCTAAAACCTGCCTGAAGCTGCTTGAGCTGAAGATTTCCCAATTAATCTAGCACTTGGAGCTGCTCTAAAAAAGAAATGGAGCTTTTCAACCATGACGGCTCCTTGTAAGAACCTTACCCTTGGTTCAACACACCAATTGTGAATTGGTTTAGGTATGCGTAGGCAAACCGGTGAGATACAATTTGAGAACAAACGTACATACAAGCTCACTAACAACTTAGTCCAATTAAAATGTCTTTGTTACACCGGTTCCTCTGCGATTGAAATCGGCTTCACCTGCCACCACCCCGCCAACCAAATTTTGCAAGAGTGAACACAGCTCTCTTTTGAGAAAGTGGGTGGCTCTTAAAAGAGCCTTTTGTGATAGGGAGGAGAAAGATTACTTGCCAAATTTACTTGGAGCTGGTGTACTTGGTGACGGCCTTGGTGCCCTCGGACACGGCGTGCTTGGCCAGCTCCCCGGGCAGCAGTAGCCGCACGGCCGTCTGGATCTCCCGCGACGTGATGGTCGAGCGCTTGTTGTAATGCGCCAGGCGAGACGCCTCGCCGGCGATACGCTCGAAGATGTCGTTGACGAAGGAGTTCATGATGCCCATGGCCTTGGACGAGATGCCCGTGTCCGGGTGGACCTGCTTGAGCACCTTGTATACGTAGACCGAGTAGCTCTCCTTGCGGCTGCGCTTGCGCTTCTTGCCGTCCTTCTTCTGCGCCTTGGTCACAGCCTTCTTGGAGCCCTTCTTCGGGGCGGGTGCCGACTTCGCCGGTTCGGGCATCTTTAAGACCTTTAAAAACACAAGTAGAATGAAAACGCCAAGCGAAATTTCTGCTATTTATAGGGCATTTATGCTAATGAGGGATTCAGAGAGACTCTTAGATAATTGGAAGAAAAACGGCCAGGCCGTCATACATGGGCAGAACTATGCAAATGAAGGATTAAAATGCCGCCTTTCTATTGGCTAGTTTCGTATTGCTTTTTCTAGCCAATCAGAGAGTGGAATTTACAATCCAGGAAATAGCTATAAAAGCAGCCATGTCTGACGTCTTTCTCTATTCTATTTGCTTTCTTGTAAACCTTGTCCGTGTCGTGTAGAGTCTTTTACTGGGTTTGAGATGTCTGGACGCGGCAAACAGGGAGGTAAAGCTCGCGCCAAAGCTAAATCTCGCTCTTCCCGAGCCGGGCTGCAGTTCCCCGTGGGCCGCGTGCACCGCCTGCTCCGCAAGGGCAACTACGCCGAGCGCGTGGGCGCCGGCGCCCCCGTGTATTTGGCGGCCGTGCTGGAGTACCTGACGGCCGAGATCCTGGAGCTGGCGGGCAACGCGGCGCGCGACAACAAGAAGACGCGCATCATCCCGCGCCACCTGCAGCTGGCCATCCGCAACGACGAGGAGCTCAACAAGCTGCTGGGCAAGGTGACGATCGCGCAGGGCGGCGTGCTGCCCAACATCCAGGCCGTGCTGCTGCCCAAGAAGACCGAGAGCCACCACAAGGCCAAGGGCAAGTGATTTGATAGGCATCTGAACTTCCGGAAACTACAGTAAACCCAAAGGCTCTTTTCAGAGCCCCCACCCATTCAAATGAGGAGCTAAAAACACTCAGTAGTACCAAGGTAAATTTTAAACTTTATATACATAGTAATTTTATACTTTGAGAACTAAGCGTTAGTGTTTCTATGAACTGAACGGAAGTGACGGCGGATGTTGTAGTTCCAGCACTCCTGAGGCTAAGGCAGGATAGTCGCTAGTTCCAGACCACATGGGCTATAGTGAGTTCAAGGCCAGCCTGGACTACAGAGCAAAATCCTGTCCAAACATGCAGGAAACGGAAATAAAGCAATTATTAACATACCCTATTACAGAGCATTTTGTGCAGTCCAATGATTACCCAGAGTTAACTGTAGAATAAAGTGGTATGAAAAGTAAGATTCTCGTAAGAAGTGTGCCAGATAATCAAAGAGAGACTCCCTTATAGTGGTAACTTACCTGTCTGACATAAACTGGGTGTAGATAGTACCTTGGCTAACTTCATGCCTTAACCTGATATTCAATGGCCTATATACTTTACTACATGGTAGTAATATTTTAGGTAGGTGGAATCTCTAGGCTCCAACTCCAGCTAAAAAGCAGGAGTAGAAGAACCCCAGGCCTTGCAGACTTGTTCATTTCTCCAACCACAAGAAGTGGTGATCTGGGACTGCAAGGACCTCTAGTGTACTGTTCTGGGTTCTTGTTCCTACTGGGATTTTCTTCAAGAAGACATGGTTTGCGACTTGAACGGGGAAATGGGCATTGAGGGAAGCACAGTGGGTAAAGGCTGGCCAATGCACAGGGTCTCTGGCTGACCAAGCAGGACAGCAATGAAATCAAAGGCTCCTGGAATTCTTTGGTGTTGTGGGGATCATTTCCCTTCTGGAGTTCAAAGCCAAGTGGGATGGTAAAAAAATAT